ATCATGAACAATAAAGATGACAAAAACCTTAAGGGTTGTCTGAAGCAATCTGTGGTGGAGAATTGTCCCCTGTTGTACATCTTTGTTCCAGAGTAATTTTAAATGCTCCAAGAAATAAAAAGATAAACAATTTCTTTTATAAGCAGTTCTAGGTTTTACTTTGAGTTCCCTCTGCTTCATTTCATCCACTATTTCAGCCATTCTGGAGCCAGTTTCTGAAAACTTCTTTAATATTTGTGTATTTAAATATGTGCAGGCAGGCATCTAAAATCAGTTTCTTTAAAAGTGCTGGTAAATTCGGAATAATTCGAGTACTTCTCAGTCACTGACTATTTACAGAGCAGAACTCTTCAGGAAATTAAGGAAAAAATGCCATTGAAATAATAAAAATTGTATATATTGTATATATTTTCTATCAGGGTTGTTTAAAATATTACAGTTGCTTCCAGAAGCTGTATTGGAGAGCAGAGGTTGGCACCCACTTCTGTTTTTTCTTTGAAGCCTAAAATGAGATCTCGTTTTGTACAGAGTATTGTGACTTCTGTGTAGCTGTATAAGAACAAGTAACACATTATCTTGGATTTTTGAGACACTGAATGACATGTAGGCTTTTGAATGAAAAAAATAAAAAACAGTAATACAAATGGTTTCCAGACAGCATAAATGAGATTGAATGCAGTTTATGCATCTGTAGGAAGTTTATTTCAGAAAGCTTTTTTGTGTTTCCATTGGATCCAGATAGCCTGGTTTCTAGAGCTATATAAAGAGAAACTTAAATCACTTGAGGCAGTCTTTTCAGTGGGCAGTAGACAATACCTAATGACAGAATGTTGGTATTTTGAGAAATCAAAGGTATTCTGGACAAATCAAAGGTGTTTTGATATTTGCACTGTTTAGATAGCTGTTACTTAATTTTTACATAGGTCATACTACTTTTACTAAAACGACTAGAAAACCAGTAGACATTGGTGTCTCAATGAAGACCAACACTAACAAAGACATAAAAACATAGAACAAGAACTGATATATTTTTTACATACCTGATGGCTTTGAAATTATGTTTCAAGTGCAGTAGCATAAAATATTAATTCACTTATGTGCACTGTGCTACTTATTCACCTATTTACATTTCTGTGCAAAAATACTGAAACTCTGTTGCTTTATTGCTTTATCATCATTGGCATTATGCTCCCTCCCCATCTTTCCATTTGGGTGATTTGATTTGCTCAGACAACCTAATGTCTTTCTTATAATTTTGGGTAAATAGATCTTCCAAAAATCTGTCCAAAATCCTACCAAAATGCTAGCATTGCTAATGCCCAGGGCAATGTCCTGTATGAAAGAAGAAACAACATAAGAGACATGATAATCTTTAGCCTTGTAACCCAAATACCTTCATTGATAAAGGCTATTACAGTGATTTGCCAGAGAGAAGTGAGTTGTCTGAGCGTGTAAATTTGTTCAGACTGGTTTTATTTGCTTTTCTTTAGAAATATGACAGATCATGTTGAGCAACACATTTACATCTGAGCTGCCCACAGGGGCTATTAAGGACATGTTCTAAACTCCAGAAATACAGTATAGACTCTCGTAGCAATGTTGACAAGAAGGTGACAAGTCGGCTTACACAAAATTACCTACCCTTTTTAAAGTAAGAACTATTCCAAACTATTAACACTAGTACTAGGTATATAAACAAATGTATTTTCTTTAACAATCTTGCAAATCACTATCTTGTAAATCTCTATTTTTCTTCCCTTAAACTTAGATAAGCTGTAAAAAAATTGAAAGGGAGGCTAAGGCTGGGACATTCTTAAGAAGTTTATTTGTTTCTCTGTGGTACCTCCTAGAAAAATTTGTAATCTCCAATTATGAAAGACAGGAAACCAGGCACTGAATTGTAGTGCTAATTTAAGTAGATGGGAACAGGGCTGTCAGCTGGTGCAAGTCCCCACTGTGTCATTTAAGCACAATTATGAGGAGGTAGATTTCACTTCAGAAGGGCTCATCTACTCAGCACGCTGTCTGCTCGTCCTAGCCAGGTGTAAGAGGTCAACTGTCACACGTTGGATCAATTAAAACAGTAACCAATGCAAAAAGGAGTCTTGCTGTATTTTGCAGATGACACCAAGTTGGGTGGGAGTGTTGATCTGCTTGTGGGCAGGAGGGCTCTGCAGCGGGATCTGGGAGGCCTGAATCCATGGGCTGAGGCCGATGGTATGAGGTTCAACAAGGCCCATGCAGTTTGCAGGCTTGGGGCAGAGTGACTGGAAAGCTGCCCAGCGGAAAAGGACCTAGACTGGTCGACAGCTGGCTGAACGAGAGCCAGCAGTGAGCCCAGGTGGCCAAGAAGGCCAAAGGCATCATGGCTTGTATCACCAACAGTCTGGCCAGCAGAACTAGGTCAGTGATTGTCCTCCTGTACTTGGCACTGGTGAGGCCACACCTCAAATCCTGTGTTCAGTTTGGGGTCCCTCACTACAAGAACGACATTGAGATGCTGGAGTGTGCCCAGAGAAGGGCAACAAAGCTGGGGAAGTGTCAGGAGCATAAGTCTGATGAGGAACAGCAGAGGGAGCTGGGGTTGTTTAGCCTGGAGAAAAGGAAACTCAAGGGAGACTTTGTTCTTTACAGCTACCTGAAAGGAGGTTGTAGCAAGGGGGGGGTCAGTGTCTTCTCCTAGGTAACAAGCAACAGGACAAGAGGAAATGGCCTCAAGTTGTGTCAGAGGAGATTTAGATTGGGTATTAGGAAAAATTTCTTCACTGGAAGGGTTGTCAAGCACAGGCTACCCAGGTAAGTGGTTTTGCCACTATCCCTGGCGGTATTTAAAAGACACGTAAATGTATTAAGGACATGGTCTAGTAGTGGACTTGGCAGTGCTGGGTTAGTGGTTGGACTCAATGACCTAGAAGGTACTTTCCAACTGAAACAATTCTATGATTCCTTTCTTTTTTCTTTAACATCTTCCTTCTGCTCTTTCTTTTTTAATACTTGAATTCCTCCATCTAAGTGCTAGATGCACTAATTTCAATTTCAATGCAACTGAGAGTAGTTTTCTCTACAATATTTTAATATGAAAGGAATATACATTTTTTTTACTTTTTTACTTTGTTCTTAACATGTAAGATTTGTTTATATACTGTAAGCATGAAAGCAGGTAGCTTTGTATACTCATTCCTACAACTCACTTGAATCCATTACAGTATTTTTAACAAAGCAGTCTGTTAAGTCTAACCACAAAACCATCAAGCACAGGAGTGGCTCTGTTTCAAATAGCTGAAGCAGGTGGGCACATCACAGGCAAACAGCATTTCCCAAACGGCAGTGTCTTCATCATGAAATAACAGCAGAGCAACTGCATAGCTCAAGGATGTAAAAATGGCAGCAGACTGTTTGCCCAAGTCTGGAACCTGGAAACTGAGTCACCTCCTGTAACAGAAGCCATCATTAGGCTGCTAAGGAAATTGTTTGAAGTTCAGAAAATGCCTTTCTCTAGGGGCAGTAGCCAGGACACTTTCCTAAAGGCTAGATTAGTGTCCTTGGTGCTGCAAAGTATGAGAAATCTTTTTGTATCATGAGTCACTGGTTTCATGCTCCTCCTTTTGAGCAAGTCCTTTATTTTTTGCTCTAAAAAATAATATATACTTATAGTTTTGGGGGTTTTGCTGGGTTTTGCTTTAAGATAAGATAAATGGAGCAGCACCTTGCAGAGACAGACATTTACAGCCTAGGATGCTGCAAAACCTTTTGCTGCCACATATTCACATAAAATCTGTCCACTTTGAACAATCCAAGGATCAAAATGTAAGAGTGGAAGAAACAGAAGGAAGGGGCTTGGAAGTGCCAGGAACTTGTCTTTGTTCAGACCACAACCCAGTCCCAGCAAAGGATTGCAGAGACCAGGGATGGACCTTCCAGGGTGCAAATATGGTTCTTCATGGGCAAATCTGCTAATGGTGTCTGCAGTCCAGGTTGTTGTGGAGATACCTGGCATTCAAAAGCACCACAGCCCATTGCCCTGCAGAAATGCTCACTTTGTGTCTCTCTCCTCATCTTGGCTGCATTTGCTCAGTGCTGAAATTAATTCATCGAGCACAGTAGGGCACTGTTGGGAGGAAGAGAGGAAGAACCTGGCTGACCTCAGGTTGTGGCAAAGAGTTGTTCAGGCAACAGCATGCAGGAAGCCACTGCTCAGCACTGGTGTCTGGAAAGAAATGTTTTGGAGAGGTCACAAATCCAACTGAGGGAAGGACTGTGTTGGTCATGGCTTAGCTCCCAACTCAGTCACAAAGAGACACAGATTTGCTAAAACTGTCAGCTTAGCAGCTTCATTGACTTAGACCTCGAAACACAATACCTCTGTAATGTAACCCTGCCCTTCCTGCCGCCCTACATGGGCTGAACTTCATTGCTGGAGCTCTAGGTTCTTCTGTAGACTTTTTTTTTAGGAACTTGGGGACCGATTTAGATAAATCTCAGTTGGCTCACCTCAAAAATTTGCTTCTTTAAGCGTAAAGCATCGAGATATTCAGTTGATGTGCTGTCACTAGGCTGGTTGCAACCAGGCAGTTTTGTGAAGCATACCAAAGGAATGGCCAGCTCCTCTCTGCAAAACAAAACAATTCAGTTGAGGAAACATAACAAAAACAAACACAGAAGCATCTTTATTAGAGTGAAAACTACATCCACCACAGATGGCTTTACTGTGATACTTGCTGTTTTTCATTTGCAAAACTTTAATTTCTCTTCTTAAAGAGTTCTGGTTTGGGCAGTTTCCAGTAACAAGGCTTCTACTGTTATCTAGACACAATCTGCCCTAAATTAATTTTTAAGAAGGTTTGTTTTTTTTTTTTCAGTATACGTGATGTTGAGTAATTTGGAAATACTTGTGCATGACACATTTTTTACTAGTTTATTGGAGATTTTTTCTTAAATGTATTCTCTATGTGAGCTGTGAGATAATGTCTTTGTCACATATCCTTTTCCATATTTTTTAGGAGACCCTGAAAGCTTTTGACCGGGAAGTAAATGAGTTTGTGGACTATATGTTTGGACCTCGAGGTAAGCTGCTCCACTTCCATTTCCCATTTAGCAAATAACACCTTTACAGATTACCACTCAAAAAAATTCTAATAAATCTTCTATCATTGAAAATGTAAACCAGGCAGAATCACAGTATTTGCAGGAACACACCATTGTGGTAGGAAATCTATCAATGCACTACAATTATAAAAAGCAAATAGATTTTTGTTTTGAGTATTTGACATAATATTATCTGTAATATAATTTAAAACCAATCATAGATTATACTGAAGCTGAAGAAGAAATGACACACAATTTTTAAAATTTTTTTTAAGCTTAAAGAAAAGTCACTAGATTTGGGATTCCTTTGTTTCTGAGAATATCAAAGGAATTCAATTTTACATCCTAATGTGGAATAAAAACCTGAAAGACTGGATCTTTTGGAAAGTAGAAAATCTGTTTTGGGACTGATTCTTATTCATAATCCAGTTTGTCCGGTCCAGCTACTTATTAAATTGCCTTCAGGATCACATCCAAAATTTCAATAAACCAGTAGACTGGATAGAAGAACAGATGCATTTGTCAACTTCCTGTTATTGCTTTCTGGCATAGTTTGGACAAGAATAACCTAAATAACTGTAGCTTGGAGGTTCCTCATGCTTTGTTAGGACTGAAACAAGTAATGGCAAGAAACACCCAAACCTGAAATAGGACTGCAGATGAGGATGGAGCATCAAAGTCAGGGCTAAGAGAGCCAAGCAAATAAAGGAAAGGGGTGAGGCAGGAGCTTAGACAACACAGTCTTCAGAGAAGGTCCCTGCAAGGCCACCTTGCTCTTGATATGGCTGGATTTAAACATTCAACTTCAGGAATTGGCTTGCAAACTTTTTCCCGTGGTTAAATCTGGAACAGCTGCTCATGTGGATGGACATATTGTTATGGATTCCTGATTTGTTGAAGTAATGTCCTCCATTTCCCAGAAATAATTCTTGCTTAATTAGAAGGAAAAGGGAAAGGTATTGTGTTCGTAAAACCAAGAAATTCTCATTTTTCATAGCTGGCTGGCTGGCTACAAAATCTTTTTCATCCTCTCTGCAGTAGATATGAAATTTAAAAGAAAGATTTCCAGTGAAGAAACACTGAAGAGCTTGGGAACAGCAGCAGAAGTGGTTAAAACAGAACAGATTTAATTAATGGCTTCTACAATAGTACATTTAACAAAGAATATTAACAATATTAATATTAACAAAGAAATGTGATCAGAAGAATAAAAGTACTACTTTTTTTGTTGTTGGTGGTGGTTTTTTGTTTTGTTTTGTAAGGTTTTTTTGTTTGGTTGGTTTTTTTGGTTTTGTTTGTTTGTTTGTTCGTTTGTGGTTTTTGGTTTTTTTTGTTTTTGTTTTTGCTTTTTCCCCAAATGGCCATGATATTCTCTTTCATTCCTCTTTTCTTATTGGTCCAGACAAATTGTCCAAAGGAATGAACTGTAGATAATCCAATTCAGAATAGCACACAGATCTCTTTGGGCTTTTAGAAAGCCCTTCAATTAAACAAGTATTATTTGTATTGCTTGCCAAGTACATCACCATCCTTCTCCAGACAACAGTGCTGAAGATAGCATTTGTTTGTCCATGCCCATGCCTCTTCACTCTGATCTTTCATTTAACTGGTGGTAAAATGACACAGTATCATACATTTTGTGAATAACATAGCTCCCTCCAGTGTGTTCATACACATAAATAATTCATATAAATAATTCACAATAAACTGCAAACAGTTTTAAATTGAATGACTTCACAGATGAATATCTAATGAATTTGAGAGCTTCCCCAAACATCTAAACCCACAAACCATTCCCCTTCTTTCTGTCCACCAATTTTCTTCTACAATATCCAATTCATATAGCAGCAAGGGGACTTAAAAGTATAGATTTTATGTACATAGGTATGATATATATACATATATATTTTGTACCTTCATTCACTGGTATCAGCTGGGTTTTGTACACAGATTTACCTCAATGTTTGCTTTTGAAGTAGCAGATGAAGTCCTTTGGGTCAGGGAATAGAAGCCATATAGATGCCCACCAGTTGCATCTCTTAATTTGTTCATTGATATTGTTCGTAGGCTCAAGGCAAATTGAGAATGAATGAAATAGTTCGATTGTTCTGTAAGGGATCTTTTTTCCAGAGTCACCTTCATCTGCAGAGTATTGTTTGGTATTATGAAAATTAAGGAGTATTGAATTGCAGGAGGTAAATCTAGTTAACTGGTTCCTTGTGAAAGAAACAGAGGTAATCAAGAAGAGATATATTTTATTAAAGTTATGATAAAGTAATAAGCACTTCTCCTCAATAGAGTATGATCTGTAGCAAGGCACTGGTGCAAAACCGTCTACTCTCTGCACCTAAAAAGGTCTGAATCTACTCAGACACCAACTGGCCAACTTGAATCAAACAGAAACTTGAATCAAAATGTTTCTAAACCTCATTGATAAAAGCCTGATACCTTTAAAGAGCCTGGGAGGCCTGCCACTCATTTCAAAGGAGCCAAGATTTCACCCCAAGGGTTTGGCACATCATGGCCAGTGACCGTGAATGAGCCTATTCACAGACTGATCAGAGCTTGTGGGCACCTGCTCCTTCCCGTACTGTAGTCCAGTGCTTTCCCACTGTGGCTTTATTCACTGCTTTGGTCTCAATCTCAGCTGCTGTACAAGTTCAATATTGTAAAAATAATCCTTTCTGCTATTGACAGCGTACTTTTACAGTACTTGAACACAGAGATTTAACTGTCAGTCAACAGAAATACTTTTCATCTCTCCTTCTTCTGATAACTTCTTTTGAAATACATTCCCTTTCCTCCCGCTTCCTGACATATAAAATCCTCCCTCCTCTTGTCATTCAGGGATAAGCGGAAGTGGAAACAAAACAGTCACATTCCTTGGCTGCTGTTTATAAACCACTCTCTTCCAGTAACTGTCTTACACTTCAAGGTATTGAGGTCATGGTGGACAATGGTCAGGAAGGCTACATGTTTTAACAATTTCTCTTGAATCTGAAATAGTACAGAACTTAAAAATACTTAACATGGTGACCTGAACAAGCACACTAATTGTGCTTTTGTATGGATCAGCCTCCATGCTTGTGGCCACTCAGAGCAATATGGAAACTTTCTGAGGTCATGCTGTGGCAGAATTTAATTCTGTTTAGTTTAGTTTGTATTCTGAACCCTTCCAAGTACTTTTCCTCTTTGAGCAAACATGAGGTTCCGTCATCTAATAATGCCAGTTGGCGTTTTTGCACATAACCTTTATGCACCAAGTGTTGCAATCCTGGGATGGGAGACCTTTCCTTAGATAGCAATCTTGCTGACATGACTGCTTTCTACATCTTCATTTAGGATACCAATTAAATAAATGAAATCCTTATGCTCCTAAAACATATACTCCTAAAACATCAACACGTACATGCACAACCTTTACCTGTCCTATGACTCAGTCCTGTTAAGAGCCAACTTGGGAGTAGAATCACCTCAAAAACATTCATTCCAGAGTTTCAGACATGGCTTGTGAGCTTTAAGAGGGTATTGGAAGGGTTTTATTATCACACTGAGGTGATCCTAATAAGCACTGAGATCCAAAGACAGAAAAGAGGTGTTGTAGTTTGGTAATGCACAGCAAAGCAAGGCTACCCTATAAGGATGGATTGTGGTTTGTAATAGGCAGTTGTGCTGTTGTGACTACCCACACCTCTCTACTCCTAGAGGTTTTTGGGAGTCCAAAATGGAGAGTCAAACCCAGGAGAACATTGGACTTCCATGGTAGTGTGGGCCTGGTTGAAAGTCTTTCCAGTGAAAGAGCTAACATCCCTTGTGGAATCCAAATTCAACAGATGAATGTTACAGCCACTGCCATGGAAGCAAGGGGAGAAGTGGAGGAAGAGTGTAATGAAAAAGAAAACTGATGTTCATAGCCTGGTTCATAAGTAGGTTACTCTAACACACTTAAAATTTCACTTTACATATACCTGTATGCATATACTTCTAAGGAAAGAATAGTTAGAAAGAATACAGTACAGCAAAATTGTAATCAGTTGTTAAATGCTTGGGCACATTTGCTTTGTGTGTCATCCATTGACCAGTCCTTTCCAAATTCAACACAGGCAGAAAAACAGTAAAATATTTTTTTCATGCACTGTGAATACCCTTTCTTTTACAATTTTTAACATAATCTTGGTTCTTTGTAAAAAATAAACTAAGTAATTTAAAACATTTTCTAAGAGCAAAAACATCTTCCTAAAAGCAAAAAGAACTACTTTCTGTGTGACCTGCACAATAGTTCCTCACTGACTTCTTTCTTCACTTACTTCTCACTGACTTCTTTCTTCACTTACTTCAGAAGTCGTGACAGATTTAGAGTAAATTTTCTGAAAACTAGCCATGATACCCCCTTGTTCTTTTCACAGATAAATGGCTGAATATTGTTGCTGTGGAAAATTAACTCTAGATTTTCCTCCATCATGGGGAAAAAAAAAAAGAAAAGAAAGCACACTCCTTTTGCTCTTGACATACAGTTGCTCATATGACAACAAAGTTGTGCCTCCAGATTGGCATCTAGGATTAGGCTTTGCTCATATACACTGAACTATCTGATTACTGCCAATGGGATTACTTGTGTGAATAAGGCAAGCAGGATTTGACCTTAATATTTCATTTTAGGACCAGGCAAGTAGGACAGAAACTGTGAGAAAGCAAGCCCTTGCCCAGACAAAGATCTTTGATAACCATCAAAGTGCATGTTTGCCACTTGCTTTTTGTATTTAATGTTTTGGAAGAGTCCTCCCCCTGTATAAATATTTTCTAGTAAATGTTATATACCTTCCTACCTTTATGGAAAGTACAGAATTAAAATAACACATGACCTGGCAATATTACACGCATATTTTGTATATAACACTATCTGCAAATTGTCCATTGAGCAGATTAAGATAGGATTTAAATAAATACTAAGTTAAAACACTAGATTAAATTTTTAAGCCTATAAGAATGTTTTTTTTTTCCATTTTCTCTTTACTATTAAAATGAGGTGATTTAAATGACCTTAAATTATTAGGAAATTCCATGCAGTTTTCAGCCCACATTCTCTGAATTCACATGCAATTTTGGTGAGGTGAAGTGAATGGATAGCTCTTGTGAGCAAAGCATGGCAGATTACCTCTCATGTTTTTAAGCACAATTTTGCATGATGTATTCTGACTTACTTTAGCAATACTTTACCACAGCCTTCTTAATTGCCTGCTCTGTGTGATTTTTTTTTAGATGCCAGAGTTAGAGGATGGTTCCTTTTGGACTCTTACCTTCCCACATTTTTCCTTACTGGAGCATATCTACTCTGCATATGGCTGGGCAAAATGTTCATGAAGAACAGGCCTCCTTTCTCTCTCAGGGCTCACCTCATTGTGTATAACCTTGGGATCACACTGCTCTCCTTCTACATGCTCATAGAGGTAAGTGTTCTTCCAGGCAGTGAGGATGAGAAAGGTGAGCAATACACAGTTTTTAGCAGAAATATCTTAGTGACAGGTAGTTTTGCTAGGAAAGTTAAAATCAGCAGCAAAATAAACTTTAAGATCAAAAAAAGGCCCTCAGCAATTGGACAGTGAGCTGTACAGTACTTTCTCATCTTAGATCTTGGCATGTTTTGATCATCCTTCCTGAGCTACAGTCCACACCTGGGACAGCTGGCTGCTACCAGGACTGCATCTACAAGCATAAATTTGAACCTGCAACAGGCACTCAGTTCAAACATGCCTACACCTCGTTTTTCAGCACCCATGAAAATGCCCATGGATTGTGTTTCATTCATATGACTGTCTATGGAATGGTTTTGCCATGTACAAATGCTCATTCTTAAATATGTACAGATTTATATATGAGAGCAAATACTGATTTATTTATGGTATTGACAATTCAATGTTATTTTTCTGCTCTCGTGACTAAGAAGCTTCCCTCATATAGTCAGACAGTCAGAGACAGATTTTAAAAACTTACCACTTTATTGAAAAGCAAGTGCTGTGGAGCTTGGAGGCTGAATATGGTCATATAGATTATTTTCCAAGTACTTTTCAGGAAGGAACATGCTCACACAAATCAGGATCCATTCAGAACCAAAAGAGTGGTTTGAATGCATCTGATGATTTTGCAACAACAGAGGACTCAAACTGTGCTCCTCAGCAGACGAGTGTTTTCACCTCCCCAGTGGGGAGCAGAAGCCAAAAGTCACTGTTTGGATATTATCTGGGAGCAGCCCATTCTCAGCCTTTTAATAACTGAGATACTTCTAATATTAAGGTGATAACATACACTACCTGTGGCCCTTAAAAACAAACACTAGAAGACAAAACCCACGAAACATTTTCTGACTTGGCTTAAGAAGTAACCCCAGGCATGCGAAGCCCTGGCTGAAGGATGTGCTTGATTCCATGGTGTGACCTGCAGAGGTGTGAGCTGACACTGCTGTGTTGCCTGCACAGCCTCATGGCATTTCTCGCTCCCTGGGCTCTCGGCCACAACAGCAGTTTCCACGAGAAATACAAGGATTAACTTGTTCTGTCAGTGGGACAAGAAACTTTTCAGAGGCCAAACAGGACTCCGAAAGATTTCAAGTTTTAAATTAATTTGAACTAAACACCAAGTTATTGGCCTGGTCAAAAGGCTAAGCGGCAGTTCAGATTTGTGCCCTTGTGCAAAGGACTGATTGTGCTACACAGAGCTTCATCCTGGTTGGAGCTCCAGCTGGCTTCAGAGGCTGCTGCAGTGTCTGAGAGTGCAGGATAAGGTTTAGAGCAAAGAAGAAACAACTACAATTGCTGGGAGGTTTGATGACTCCATAATGATTGTCCTCTAGAATTTAAATTAGTACTTTGATGTTTAAATCTCCATTTTGCTTGAAGGTATACAGATAACTGGCTGCAGTAGCAGGACTCAGCAAAAAGGATTAACTGAATAGAAAACAATACTGCTGCTCCCTTCCCCTTGCAGTCTGATTTGGCCTGCCACAAATAAATAAATGAAAAAAACAAAGAAAGTTTTAGCAGGTCTCACTTGTATGAATGAAGCAAACTTGGTTTCAGCCACCTTCACATCCTTTTAGGAACTGTATTTAATCAGCTCCCATTCAGCTGCCTCACTGATCTGTCCTTCCTGAGGCTAACTTTTCTGCAGACAGTCACTGAGTTGTGTTAGTCCTCAAATTAGTCCCTTGATACCTTGATTCTGAGTCTGGAGGTTGCTGATTTATACCTCCCAGATTGCAGCTGGGCATGGCTGGCAGTGCTAACTTGTAGCTCCACATTCTGCATTTTTTGGGAACCCAGGGAACGTGATAACTGATTGACACTGCCAGCTATTTTACTGCAGATTTCCCTCTTAGCTCTGGACTGACAGTAAGGCTGGTTTTACACTGTACAAAACACACTTCCATAATAGTGGCTCTGTATTTTTCGTAGTCTAGTTGCCTGGCTCCTATCACAGCTTCTCCTGTAAAGGAGCAGAAAGGAAGTTAAGACTTGCAGACCTGCCTGAGGTAGCTTGCACATCTCTGCTGAAGAAAAACAGGCAAATGGGAGAGCAGAAATCATCTTCAGTACAGAATAAATTCATGGTGACTCAGTATTTCAAAATGTCGAATTTCCAAAGCTTCTCTTTGCCCCTTATTCTCTCTGTCTGTTGGGGACATTAAGCTCTTTAAGGCAAGAGTTACCTATATTTAGCACATTCTGCACGGTGGTTTCTTATGTAAACCAGTTGATCCCTCCAGAGAGTATGATTCAGGATTAATTCTTAGTTAGACACATCTATAATAGTTGTTTTATTCCTCCATCGTCCCACTGCATCTAAACCCCTCTGGTCTCTGTACCACAGATGATCACAAAATAATAACCTCTACAATAGAGATAAAAACCAAAAAAAACCAAAAACAAAACCAAAAGAAAATCACCACCCCAAAAAAAACAACAAGCAAACAAAATCCACCCAGTAATGGGTATTGTTGTTCTTGTCTCTTCTTTGTTTTGTTTATAAGGTGCCACACACCATTTCTTGCAAGAGCACCAGAATGTGGTGGTTGCTTCTTAGACATTCAAAAGAAAAAAATATCTTGTTCAAAGGAAAGGGTGTATCTCCAAATGCAGACTATCTCATATGAGGAATTTAACAAGAAACATCGTAAACCTGCTGATGGGAGTACTTGTGCTTCATTTTTTCATCTCCTCACTCTCATCTCCTGACTAGTTTAGCTGTCCCTTAATGACAGTTGATTTGTACAGCCTCAAGGCAGGAAAACAAAGGCTATGGCAAAAAGTCATAACAAAAGGGCTATTTTTAAATCTCCAAGGGCAGATTCCTCTTTTGAGCCAGAACTCCATGCACTGCACCATAGGCATGAACTATCTGGGAGCTGATTTTAGCTCTATGAGCTTTGAGGTCAACCAATCCGCGAAGTACTTGGAGGAACAGCTCCAGGACAACTCTAAGATGTGCCATTAGCATAAGGTCAGATACCCCTACTATCCCCCAAGGACAAGGTCTAAAGATAAACAGCTCTGCCCAGCTGCCCCCATCCTACTGAGACATCTCAAAATTTTTGTGTCAAAAAGGAGTTAGGTGCCTCTGAAGGCCCACCAGAATGGAAGTTTATTAGACATTAATCTAGACTTTTTAGTTTGGCAAATAGATTTCATCGAAGTTGTCAAATGCACTTACCTCTCCCAATTAAATGTGACGCAGAAGTGGGCACTTGGTTTTGGAGCACTTTTTTTTCAAGTACCTGAAGCTTAGACACAAGTACTGTGCTTAAATTAGGCTGCAGGTGCACTGATGGGGAGGCAGAAGACAATTCCTTCCATCCTTGCTGCTACCAAAGAAACCTGCTTAAGAAGTGTGTTATTGGTTGTGTATTTCTCTGTACCATTAAGCGTTCATAGCCTCAGATAACTCTACCAATCCAACAATTTCTAGCAACATGGCCAAAAATCTGCATAAGGAAGAACAGCCACCACCTTTTTATTTTTATAAAAATCAAAACTTTCAACAATTTTACTGACGTAACATGTGCCATTTCTCTACACAAATCTCTGCCTAAGATCCTGAAAGTACCAACTATGAGCAGAAAATCAGCTTATTGTGAAAACCAGTCATGTCTGTGAATAACCACACTTCAGGCTTTTTGTCTGAGGCACCAGAGGCCACAGGATAAAACTGTCACAAGTCCAGTGATATATTAAAACTGCAAACACGGGAGACCAATGCTGATCTCTGAATTCTGAAATTACTCAGGTGAGGATACTCTCTCTCATTAGTAGGAAAAGGCATAATCTCTGCCAAGGTCTTAGGCTGCTTTCCCCAGCAGTAAGTATCACTTCTGCCCTATTTAAATTAAATCTCAGCTGGTCATCAAGGTCTCACCCAAGTCCTTTTGTTGATCAGGCACTGAGAAAACCAGGACACTGGCACCATTTGGGTCAGATTAAAAAAGAGATCTAGAGATATGTGTCATTAGCATAGTGGTGGCGTGATGTCTCAAGCTGCCTGTATCCCCAGATAGCTTCTCAGACTTATTACAAATCCACAGGATTTGTAAGCAAGCAACCACATCCATGTGAGAAAGGCAGGACTTGCATGTGAGGGCCCCTGGATTCAAAGCAAAGAGAAAAGAGCAGTACTCACAAGTATTGCCAGCCTAGTACATTAACCTTTCTAGAGAAACCAGAAGAAAAGTCTTTTACCTTACAGGATTAAATAAAATAAAAAGCAGTAAATCAACTTCACTTTACCTGTTTCTAGGAGCTGAAAATTCATCCCACAGTAAGTCCAAATTCTGAATTATAGTCACAACTTGCAGATTTATAAGTGACAAGGTGGTGTGAAGATTCCCAAGAATACCAGAATTGCCTTCTGTGTATCCTCTGATAGCAGGGATAGGTCAAAAGCACAGTGCTGGTATGACCAGGTCCATCAGCCATCATTTTTAATCCTACACACTGCAACTGAGACTACATCTCACAGATTACTAGTAACCCAAATATAATGCCCGAATTTGGCATAATGGGATAAAACAAAAGGAACAAACCGAAAAATAGAAGGAGCACTTAGACTCTGTTTTATTCCATCATTACAATGGCTGACATCAGAAACATTTGCTTCCTAGCTGTGCAAGTGTTGAAAAGGTAGAGCTTGTGTAGCAGAAGTTCTAAGAAAAGCTTTAACAGTGCAGATGATGAGGGAAGGTAAAATAGATACAGATCCTAGCCAATTTCAACTGTCATGGAATTTTACTATAGAAATCCAACATAATCTTGCTTTTGGTGGGTTTTTTTGTTTGTGTTTTTTTTTTTATTTAAGATTGTGATAAATTATTGTTTTCTCTCTTCATTAATTGTTCAGAATTTAACAAATGTAAATTAATTACGGAAGTAGGGAATGATTCTAGATCTATAAGGATTGGTGC